TTCTTCTTCTTCTTCTTCTTCTTCTTCTTCTTCTTCTTCTTCTTCTTCTTCTTCTTCTTCTTCTTCTTCTTCTTCTTCTTTTCTTCTTCTTCTTTCACCCCACCCTACCCTTTGGGTTTCAGGACCCCATACAAGACACCATGTTAGGTTGTTGTGTTCTTACCTTGTCTGTGAGGTTTCGATACTGGTGGTTTTAAGCCACAGAAGTGTCCTTCCTCTGGTCTCCATGACGATGTGTGCACGTCTCCCCCTCCCATGCAAATGCACACACATGCATGCGTGTATCACATATACACCCCCAGCTTATGTGCACGTCTATATGCACGTGAGCACACAGTTCCTTCCCAGTGAGTCTGCAGGGAAGGACAGAGCCAGCAGCTCCTTGGGCAGGACCTGCCTTTTTAAACTCTGTGCTGGGATGCCTGTGAGATTCCATGAAGGCCGACTGATCACACAGGGGGATTAGCCCCCTCATTTCTGAGCACTGAGTAATGAAAGGAAAAAAAAAAAGAATCACTGGTAAAATTTTAAAAATTGGTTTTTATTTTTTCTGCCCTTTTTTTTTTTTTTTTTTTTGGTGCTGTTGATTTATTCTTGAGATGGCTACACCACAGGACAGAACAGTGCCCTTGAAGGCAATTAATTTTCACACTTTTTAGCAAAATACAGGTAGTCCTGCAAATACATTTTCTCCATACTCTCACCCTCTGTTCTGCTTCCCCCCATCTTATGGATGAATTCACTAAGAAAAAAAAACATTTAATACACATCTGTGCCCTCTCCATCCACCCCAGTTTTGGCTTCTGTCCCCAGGGCTGATGGCAAACGTATGGGAGCTGGAGCAGACACGGCAACTCGGCAGCCAGGGCTGCGCTCTACATGGATAGCAACTCTGGCCCTAGCTGGTCCTGACCGCCACCCACGACCACGGCAGAAAACAGAGCAGGCTCCTTGCGTGACGTCTCTAAAGGTGGACAGCTGGTGTGTGTGTTCCTGTGTTGGCCGGTGTAAGGAAGGAGAACAGAGGGAGCGGCCTGAGTCTCGAGCTCCAACTGTAGCAGCGCCCTCATTTAAACCCCCACTTCCCTCAGGTGCTGTGTCTCAAGCTCTCACTGTTGTTCCCCTGTGTGCACTGCATGCTGGTGTGTCTGGGTGTGCGCAGCATCGGCTGCCAGGTCAGCGTGGCAGTTCTGCTTTCATCTCAGCTTTTTTTTTTTTTTTTTTCTTTTTAAATTTCCTTAAATTATTTTTCTGTTTAGAAAAGAAGTTCACCAGGAAACTAGTTCCCCTCCCACCACATCGGACAGGCTGCAGCCATCCTTAAAAACCGTGCTGTTTCTCCCTCATGCCCCACACAGGGACTCCTTAGGGTGCCTCGGAACGTTGAAGTCTCTCCCTGTCTGGCAGGATGCTCTGGTGGCAGCCAAGGCCCCTCTGCCACAACGGAGGTTTCTGATTGTGGGACACAGTCTGGGTTGTTTTCTTCCTGTCTTCTAATAAAAAGACATTCCTGACAAAAGAGAAGAGAGAATGAGCAGGACCAGAGCCAGCCCTGTGCATCTATCTGCTCAGGCACCTCACTGTGGACTGTTGCACAACTCCAGTTAACAAACAGGCAAAACCAAAGTTTGGCTTTTTCCAACTTGCAATTCCAAGGCAACATTCACTTCGATAAAACACTGCCTGAGGCTTGTCTCCTGTGCTGAGCTGCAGACACTAGTGATGAGGTTGGGAGGGAGCCAGCAGAGCTGAGCCTTCTGTGCAAAGTCACCAGAAAAGCTCACTTTAACCTGTTAAATATCTAGTCTTCGTGTAAGATTTAATTTTGAAAAATGTTTAAATCACTGATCCAGGCTCTATGAGAAGAGTGCTGTACAGATGTGCCACCCATTACAATGGTTAAAAGTGAGGATTCTGGTACCAGAACGCCTACCCCTGAAATCTGGCTCCCCTAGTTTCTAACTGTAACATTAACAAGTTGTTAAAAATCTTTGGCCTTCAATTTCCTTCTTTGTAAAATGAGTACAGTGGCAGAAACCTGTAGGAAGATTCTCTTGGTTAATCCAGTCAACACACAGGAATGGCACCTGACTCTTAGGAAGGGTTTCATGAACATGAGCTGTGAACATCTAAAGCTTGCTACCAGCAACCTTTTGAGGTATGTCAGTGTTAGCGCCCAGACAGTAGTAACATCATCTGAGGTTGCAGCAACCTCAGATGATGTTACTACCCATTAAAGAACCAACATCTAGGATAATTTTGGGTGTGTTAAGACACTACTGAACATCACCTTGACATATTAGTACATCTATTACAGAAACTACCAGATCCTGAATATTGTTCACTGGGACAATATATTCTACTTACGATGTCAAAGGGTAGGCTTGAAAACCGCCTTTCTTCACTCAGGCAATTAATCTCGGCAACCCACCTTTACCACCCAGTCACTCCCCTGCTTAGCTGAGCTTCTTGCTTTGCTTCAGATCAGAAGGAACACAGATGGAGAAAGGTGACCATCGGGAGACAGCCAAAGGAACTTCTGCTTTCTGCACTGCCCTAGCATTTCAGTCATAAGAGCAGGAAGAATAAGCTACTTGTACATTAATTCTGGCCA